CTGGTTTCAAACTCCTGACCTTGAGCAATCCACCCACCTCGGCCTCCCAGAGTGATAGGATTACAGGCGTGAGCCACTGTATCCGGCCCATTCTCAAGTTCTTTAGGAAGGGACCCTTGCTTGCTGCCACCCATTTCTTGCCACCATTCTCCATTCCTTGCTATCCCTTCATTCAGACTCCCAGGAAAATTTCTCTCAAGCCAAGATTACTACAATACTGCTGGTTGCCCCTGTACTCGAGTCTGAGCTTCCAACTTCAAATTGCCAACTTCTGCCAGATCAGTACTTCTAACACCATTTTCGAAATAGGTGCAGGCAGCTTGAAGAAAAGAACATTGAGCAAGAAAAAGATCTTTGTGCAAACAAACCCATCTTTCTAGACCTCCTTCCTCATCTGTAAGCTTGGAAAGGACTCCTAAGAGCCCATGAGACTGTTTATTGTCACAAGAACCTATTTTTTTTTTTTTGATGCCTTTTTTTGGCCTGTACAAACAGACATCAGCCTATCTGACCTTACTTCCCACTACCCTTGAGCACTCACTGCCGGGCCCCCTCCTGCCACCCTTTGGGGATCCCTGTAGCAAACCCTTTTGGCTGCAATCTTCCTTCAGATCAATGATTTTTCCATTGTACACTCCTAATTACTGCCTTTAATCTCCTTATCCCTTTCTCAGTATCTGTTCACTCATCCTCCTTTAATTATACTACGAACATAGTCAAACTAAATTCCCTAAATGGATATTACAGTTTTGAGGATGCCATCCAAATTCTCAAGTCAGGCACATCATCAATTTATAAATCATAAGGAAAGGCTGTGACCTCCCCCCCAAAAGAAAAAAAGTCAAATAATGATCTGTGGAGAGATGACACTTGAAGCAAAAACACTGTTCAAAATGGAATTACCTAAGTGTTAGAGACATGTGTCAAGACTTTAGAAAAAATAAAATACTGTAATAAGCTTTACAAACTAGGCCAGGCGCAGTGGCTCACGCTTGTAATCCTAGCTCTTTGGGAGGCCGAGGCGGGAGGATCGCTCAAGGTCAGGAGTTTGAGACCAGCCTGAGCAAGAGTGAGACTCCATCTCCACTAAAAAATAGAAAGAAAGAAATTGGCCAACTAAAAATATATAGAAAAAATTAGCCAGGCATGGTGGTGCATGCCTGTAGTCCCAGCTACTCAGGAGGCTGAGGCAGGAGGATTGCTTAAGCTCAGGAGTTTGAGGTTATTGTGAGTGAGGCTGACACCATGGCACTCTAGCCCGAGCAATAGAATGAGACTATCTCAAAAAAAAACAAAACACTGAATTAACTTTGTGGCACTCACCAAATAGTATTGATTGCTCTTGAGTTGTCCCCAGTGTGCACAAAAGCATATGCTTTGATCCACACAGAGAGCCAGTCCAGGTTAGGCACAGTTTGGATCACGTTCATTGTCATTGATGCCACCTCTGCACCTTTTACAGAAAGGGACAGCAAACCTAATCCAACAGAAACCAGGAGAAAGGTGGTGAGGCACAGCATCTCTCTTCCACAATGCAAGAAGCAATGGGTTCTATTTTCCCTGGGCTACAAGGCAACCCCTTCCTTATTCTAAGCAAGATGAGTATGACAGAAAGACCATAATTTATTAATATTTCTTGATCAAATATGTGATAACAGTAATCCTACTAAATCACTCTCTGGTGGAAACTTTTTAAAAATAAAGCTATTCTAATGTAAGTCAAGATTGAGAACTACTCTCTTTGACAGTAAACACTCCATGAAAACAGGCAGAAAATGATCTATACCTAGAATGGCATCCAAGGCTAATGGGCACTGCCTTAGCACTTCCTTATAGCTGGTGACCGAAGGGCGCTCCTGACCAGCCTTCTTGTACAAGTTTGCCAGCATCATGTTAATCTGTACAGACACAAACGGTGGATAGTAAAATAAGCATACAATGCAAAGAAAATATCTCATCATGAAAAAGCCCTGATGTTCATTACCAGCTACTATACCACTTTTTACTGAAAACCCTACTCACAGCCCTGTGCAAGTAAAGGAAGACCAAACCCATTCTTCAAAAGAAATAAGAAATTATTACCATTGCCTTCCTAGGTACTCCCATCCCTAAGAGGAAGGTCACATTACTTTCTCACTTACCTAACCAAAAGGGCCAGTAATACCTGGACCAAAGATGCTGACTCTGGAAACAGGAATAACATTCACTTAAGAAATGTCACAGAATGCTAGTTACCTTGATTCTTTCTTGATCTTGGAAAAGGTAGAAGGTGAGCTACCTCGAAGTGCTCAAGTTGATGCATCTTAAATTTGGTTAATATTAAGGTATGAGACAGTGAGGAACTCTTGACATAGCTAGTTAAGAAGGATGAGATGAGTTTTTCCCAAAAGGAAATTAGACAGCAGGACAGACACAGAAGTACAACACTTGGCTTTTCTCTGATAATTAGACTTGTGGCTAGACTCTAGCCTTTCTGACACTTAAAGCTTAGACTCATAGGTACTAACTCGCCAAAGTAATGTTACAAAAATCAAACTCAAACTGATCTCCAGAGATGATAATGATCCAAGAGATCAGATACACTATTTAAATCACTGAGTGCAGACATCTGCACTTTAGCACAATTTAAATATGTAACTTAGAGAAGCTATTTAAAAATAATCCTACCTAAAAATGCAACTGGGAAAATTTGAGAAAACCTAAAAGTTCCAAAGAATGTAGAAATTATAGAAAGGGATAAATAACCTTCTTGATAGTACAAAGAGAAAAATAAATATTCCAATTTAAAATTATTAGATCTTAAACACAACAGTTTTTGCTTGTACAAGTTTGCCAGCATCATGTTAATCTGTACAGACACAAACGGTGGATAGTAAAATAAGCATACAATGCAAAGAAAATATCTCATCATGAAAAAGCCCTGATGTTCATTACCAGCTACTATACCACTTTTTACTGAAAACCCTACTCACAG